GAGAAGAAGATTTTTGAAATTTTAGTCAATTTGACCCTTTTTGACCCCGCCCCTCAGGCCCCTAGGGGCTTAGGACTAAACCGGCAACTATTTTTGTTGACCTTTGTCCATGGAAGGTCCCTGCAAAATTTCATTGAAATTGGTTCAGGGTTTTTGGAGAAGAAGTCGAAAATGTAAATTGTTTACGGACGCACGACGGACGACGACGGACAAAAGGCGATCGATCGCAATAGGTCACTTGAGACTTTGTCTCAGGTGACCTAAAAACTAGATGCCTGTTTGTCTATAAACATATGTTCCTATAGGGAACGCAATAATATTAATGAACTTGTAAGTCACTCTTTTCCAAGCTTTTGGGCTTAGCCGTTCGTCAGGGATTAAATGTCACTGGACCTCTATGTCACATCCATCTTGACAAACATGTTGAATAACTATGATGTTGATGTTGATGACGTCATAACACGGTTACTATGACGTCAACACAACACAATGACGTCATCAAACCATGACCTCACAAATTGTGACGTCATCATCATCACTTGGTATTGATACCATTGGGGAAAGCAGTGTTGAGTTTGTTAATCCAAAATCCCTCAATCACAAGCCTTGCTACTTTGGATTCCTCCTTAACCCTTTCCAGTACGCACACCCGCAAGTCCGATATAGAATGACCTCTTCCAAGGAAGTGATGTGCCACCGGTTTATCTCTATTCAGACGGATGTCCGCCACATGTTCCTTTATCCTTTCCTTAAGTGTACGCTCCGTCTCTCCCACATATACAGATATGTCACATTTCAAACATGATAAACAATATATAACATTACGGGTTTGGCAGGACTGCCCATCTAGTGCCCTATATGTAGACTGGTAAGATGTATCAGTAGTTGTTTCTATGAGTCTATCACACACATCACAGTCGGACGTACACTTATCCTTTGTTACCCGGGAACAGCGCTTCAACTTTCCAGTTGTGCAGTAATCTCATGTGTCTCCGTAGCATTTCATTGATGTTTGGCAGCTGCTTAGAATACATGACTACTATTGGTACCCTCTGTGTCTTACCCTTATTGCAGTTCAGGTATCGAAGGAGGTCCTCTCTATTCATCTTGTCCACCTTTTGAAGTTGGCTCTCAATAACCTTTCCCGGATATCCTCTTTTCCTTAACACCGACTTAAGATTTTTTCTGTTTTTAATGTAGTCGTCTTCTTGTTGACAGATCCGCTTTAATCAAATACCCAACCCATATGGTATCGATCTCTTCATCCGTGGTGGATGGGCAGAATTATAGAGAAGATACAGTTGTTTGTCAGTCGGTTTCCTGTACAGATCTGTCACAAGCATCCCATCCTCCACTCTTACACTGGTGTCCAGGAACTCTACTCTCGCTCACTGTATCGTAGGTCGATCTTGATGCTCCTGTGGATGCATTTGTTTGCAAAATTAGCGAACTCTTCCAGCTTGTCAACACCATGCGCCCATATACCAATACCGTCATCTATGAACCGTTTGTAAAATAGTGGTAGGAAGGACGACTAATTAATTTCCTCATCCCATTTACGCATGTAGGAACATGCGAAATTCTTTCCAAATTTTGACCCAATCGCAACCCGTCCGTTTGTATGAACTGTATGTCTCCCAACTGAAAGTTATTATTCTCTAGTACTGTGTGTTTTTATCACACCAAGCAATGTATCTGTAGATAATGTCCTTCTTTGCAAGCCAATAACCCTTCATCTTCGGGACCGAAGGATATAGCTTTCAAACATCAAAGCAAAAGAGCAGAGAGCCTGGTGGTAATGGCTGTTGAACTTCTTTCAATTTGTTTAGAAAATCAGTGGTGTCTTTGAGATAACTCAGCGTTGAATTCACATACTCTGTAAGCTCAAACTCCGCTACCTCTGCAAGCCTCTCTGTTGGTGACCCAATACCACTAACAATGGTTCTGAAAGGATGCTCCTTTTAGTGCAGTTTAGGGTTACCCTGAAGGACTCCAGCTCGTGGGTATCGAGGTATCAGGTATTTCTTCATGTCCGCTGTAATGGATCCATCTTTGTGCATCTTATTTACCAGTTTTTTCACCTTTCCCACAGATTCATCTGTCCTATCGTTGAATGTCTCCTCATATGACGGGCTGGACTCCATCTCATCACAAACTTTTTGCCTGTATACCTCTTTGTCCACAATGACTATCCCAGATCCTTTATCCGCTGGTCTTATGATTATATCCTCATTTTCTAGTAGACGTTTGATTGCTAATTCTTCTCCTTTTGAAATATTTCATAATTTATTCTTCCTCAATCCAGATATCACCTCATTCTTAACAACATCAATGTAAGTATCCAACCACATATCTCGACCTTTTCCTGGAGTAAAAGTACTTTTCTTCTTCTCCGTAAATCTTGGTTGAACTGTTGTTTGTAGAATTTATTTTACAAGAATTTAAAACAAGAGGCCCATAGGGCCTGTATCGCTCACCTGGATATCTAACCAATCATGGCAAAATACTCTCCAAATGAGATCCAAGGGAATATGCCAGATCCAAAGGCCAATCCTTGTATTCGATTTTTCATGCCCAGCAATTTTATGTATGAAATCGTTTATAGCAATATAGCCAAATTGCCCCCTTTTGGCCCCGCCCTCAGCCCTCTGAGGGGTCAGCCACACCATCTGTACAATTTTTAATCCCCACCACCTAGGGATGCTTCCAGTCAAATTTAGTTAAATTCCAATCAGTGGTTAAGAAGAAGTCGTTTAAAGAAATTGTTGACGGATGGACGATGGAAGCCACGGTATGGCATAAGCTCACCTTGGTCCTTTGGACCCGGTGAGCTAAAAATTACCAATTTGGCGGCCATTTTGAAAATGTGTATTAATGTGAATTTCTTGCACTTCAAAAAAGGCCATAATTTCAACTTTTTTGACACTAGATTGATCACTTAAATTGTCATTGTGTCGCCATTTTTAATTGTAGCAGGTTTAATTTTGCTGTACAACTTTATGATGTTCAATATGATAAAAATAATATGCAACAAACTGGAAAATTATACATTATTGATATTTATTTTACGTATTTAGTGAAGCACTTTTGATTTATGACTCCGAAAAAGGTAAAAAATAACACAAATGATAATGGGACAAAAAAAGAAGCACACTGACCCACAATTTTTGTAAATGTTTTAGAAAGAGAAACACATTTTCATTGAATTCATTAAATATTAGAAAAAGTTTAAAACCAGAACTTTTTATATCAAGCGTTTAATCTGCAAAAAAAATGGTGAAAAATGAGTATTTTTTCATTAAAAAATAGGGAGTAGGGGTAACTAAAATCGGCTTTCTGAGTTAAAAGAATAAGATTAAGAAATTTTCCTTCCACAATTTAAAAGAAAATAATATTTTCATCAATTCTACAAACATTCATACATATCTGATAACCCACTTGGAAGAAATTGTATGAATTTGTTCTGCAAATGGTCAAAACCCCCAAAATCACCTAAAATCACATGTTGTGTTAAATTGGTATCTTTGACCGATCATAGCACAAAAACAAACACACCGACATATAGTTTTTTTTGCATTTTCTACTATGCTATTAACTCCTTTTTCCAAAACTCCATTTAAGTAAAAAAGTTTAATACAGGAATTTTTTGACTTCTCAGAGGTGTACATCCTTAAGTTGAAAGATGTTTTTGTTGTTAATTTCTTGATATTCAGTGGTTTCAGCTCTTTGGAGGCTCTACCCTTTCGCAAATAACCAGCATAATTCAATAAAAGTTTCACATAATGTTTATGTCATTATATAGAGATGATTTTATGAAAATCTAAGCATTTCGATAAACTGGGGATTATTTTTTAAAAAATACTGAAAATTGAATTTTTGTCAAATTTAACACTTTTACATCTTTTGAGCGTGTGGCATTGTTCAGAACTATTACAATAATAAAATAATGAACAGAAGCATAGCTAATCAACCCTAAAAATATTTTATTTATCATAAAAAATCTACAACATGTTACACAAAGTGGGTTTTTATTGAAATTGTATGGATAAAAGTTATCATATACAAGCTAAAAGCAAACAGGACACATCGTTTCAAACAAAAAGAGTGAAAAATTGAACTAAATACAAACAAAGTCTTTATAATTCATTTAATTTACATTTTACAATAATTTTGATCCTGATGAGAGTTATCTACCTTGAAAATAATGGGAACTTTTTGCAGAGGGATAGAATTTATACAATGACAGTTATTTTCTTTACTATACCAAAAACGACGGAACCAAATTACATCAATATATTAAATTGTCAATATTAATTAACTGTTCTTTTATGGAACAAAGTTACTCTCAATCATCTTCACTTTGGGCATCATTCCATAGCCGCTTACACATGGTATATGTACATGTCAGGTACATATGTAACCATAGACTATCGCATGGTATGCCGTTATCACGTGCAAGCACATGCACTTGCATTTAATAGGGATCTTGATATCTTACAAACCAATATTTTCACAGAGTTATTGTAATTGCATTTGTGAACCGATTTATCTCACAGAGCGTAACTCGCTCAACAAGAAAACTTGTAGCGACCCCGAGCTTGTGAACCACGTGATATGTACATGTGAGGTCGGTAAACAAAACGCATCAGTCTGCATTCAATGCGCCTCGTAAACGACCTTCTTGAAGTCGTTTGGTCTTATTATGTCAGTGTCTTCCCGTGAGTTAATTAATGTCTTTGTATCATAAGCTTTATTTCTGAAGTACGTGTGATGACACATTTCCAAGTTAAGTCTGGATATCGGGTGTTCACATATCATCGTCACGCACGTGTACTTTTGTTTACCCAGTGTTACTATAATTAACACTACGGTAATGGAATGCCCGATACGCAATACGGAAAATGACGACACGAAAATACGGCAAGAAAAACATGTGTATTATGAAGGGTGGGAAGTCCTTAGAGAACTCTGTCTGATGCCTATGTCCACAATATAATCTTATGTCTGATATCCAGGTCCAAAACACACCCTCTACGATGGCCAAGTCGCAAATATAATCATATGTCTGATGTCAAACTCTTAACTATAATCTTACCACTAATGTTCAAGTCACAAATCATACATAAAAGGATATTTTTTTGTAAATACTGATAACCTAAATCAAACAAGGCTAAATAATTTGTTCTGACTGATCCTTATACATGTACTATCAAAATGATATTTTGCACAATTTTTCGTTTTTGTTTTTCATTTCAGCTAAACCAAATTAAATTGATATTAATATGCTTCTATCTGATAATATTGATAAATTGGATAAAGGCTGTGCTCTGCAAAACGAAATTAGACTTAATATTAATAAACACTAAGACTATTTTGTAAAAATGAAAATAATTTATGTGTAAAGATATTAAGTCATTCTTTGTAAACACACTTAAGCAACAGTAAATTTGATCTTAAATATGCTATTGTGTTAATTGAAACTATGGTGCAGGTTTTAGTATTGGTGAGGGAAATAGACCTCTTTTAAGTTAGGTTTCAAGAATCTGGCTTATGCAATTCCACCGATGATAGAAAATTAAGTCCCCTTTACCCAAGGATGCTTAGACCAAATATGGACATAATCGTGTCATTCCTACAGATCTAGAAGAAGAAGAATTTTAAAGCTTTTTTCTATTTTCCCTATTTTTTTGTTTTGTTTAAACAATATTTTATTTACATAATATAATATTTTACATAATGTAATGTTAGGGATCTGGCAACAAGAGTAGGCTCTTATATTAAGCTATCTCACAACAATGAGAAGATTGCAGTATAACACAAACAGGTTAAATAACATAAATTATTATATAAATTCAACTAATATAGCTAAATAAACAAGAGGCCCAATGGACCTGCATCGCTCACCTGGTATTAATCTCACACTTGTAATATTAAAAGTGGACTAAAATACAGCTACATGCAGAATATCAGTAGATTTAAACATATGATGCCTGTGACCTTGAGGGTCAAACAAGGACATTAGCTAGGTTGAAAGAGGGTCAAGGTCATTCATTTGAACAAACTTGGTAGCTCTTCATCCCAGCATGCTACAGGCCCAATATCAGTACCCTTGGACTTTCGTTATTGAAAAGAAGTTGTTTGAAGATTTTACAACATTTGACTCCTGTGATCTTGAAAGTGGGTCAAGGTCATTTGAACAAACTTGGTACCCCTTTATCCCAGCATGCTACAGGCCCAATATCAGTACCCTTGGCCTTTTGGTCATTGAGAAGATGTTGTTTGAAGATTTTAAAATATTTGACCCCTGTGACCTTGAAAGTGGGTCAAGGTCATTCATTTGAACAAACTTGGTAGCCCTTCATCCTAGCATGCAACTTGCCAAATATCATCAGCCTGGGCCTTTTGGTTATTCAGAAGAAGTTGTTTAAAATGTTGACGCCGGAAGGCCGGACACCGCACCATGCCATAATAAGCTCACTTGGCCCTTCAGGCCAGGTAAGCTCTGGCATGTATGTTAACCTGAATTTCCCATATTGGGCCATGCTCATCTGACCCCAGGGGAGCTACACCCTCTATTTATATGAAAATTGAGTACCCTTTGCCCAACAATGCTCGAGACCAAATTTGCTCAAAATCCACTAGCCTCTCTGGTAAAGTAGCGTTTTAAAAGGAAAAGGTGACGGATAAACCAACAACGGACACTGCACCATGGCATAACCGCACATGACCCTTTGGGAAGGACATAACACAGTCAGTATATAATTATAATTCTCCAACATGCTAGCGAGAGTAATGGTAGAATGTTCCAGTCTCACACACTAGTATAATATAAGGACAAGGCTAGTGAAGTTAGCTGTAGTAAAACCCATCTGCTTTTACTGGCATTTATACAAGTATCTATAGATCATGGTCAGACAATATGATAACCTGAGGCATCATTTTCTTAATTTGTGCTTCAATTCTAAATTATAACATAAAGCAAAATGCAAGTGTTGGCATTAATTATGGCAAGTTTTACCAATATTTTACATTATTAAATAATTCTTGCATTTATTGCAGTTAATTTTGAATATTCTTTGAAATTATTGCAGATATTTGGAAAGCAGTGTGGATAAAAATTTGGAGGTAAGAATGGTTGTGGTAGGTGTTGTTGACTTACAGACAGGTTTTACACTGACACCGAGTACAATAAAACACAAGACATGCAAGGAAAACCAACACTGGTAAGATAGGGGAGACACGAGATGGTGATAACAAACCTCTCAGATCTAAAATATTCAGATTCTCCTCAACAGATGACCTCCAATCTGATAGAGCTACAAAACAGTCCAAAGGTAGAACTCCAATTCTCTCGGACAGGAAATCAATTTTTATTAAAGCCAAATTAACTCTAATTCAAATAATTTTTTTTTTTTTTTTTTTTTTTTATCTAAAACAGTTTCTATATCTTAAACGCTTAAGAATGATTAGATGCATTCTGATTCAAATTTAATATTATTAAATCTTTAAAAAGACAGAATTTTATAACATATAGTCGTATACTATTTACATTGAACTGAAACTCTATAAATGTCAGAAATTAAGATTGAAAAATGAAAATATTTACATCAACAAGCACCTATAGAAAGGTAGACATGCCCTGACCAATTGTCTATCAGTGCAGACTGAGTACATATGTACCCTCCAAGGTGAGGCCCCAGGACATAGAACAGTCTCAGAAAGAGATCCTAATTTCAGTTACAGATAAAAAATTATTTTTCATGTAAATCAGTCCAAATTTAAAGGAAATAGCAAGTATTTACCTGATAATAATAACATGTTTACAATTGGTTTGGATACGTATATGTAAAATCAGTTTTTGATATGACACTGAAAATCAACAATCAAATCTGGACTTTAAATTGTATTTGGAGTCAGCCTTTAGGAACAGGAACACTGCTGATGAAGGGGCACTCACATTTTTTGGTCCAGAGAGAAGTGGCTACATTGTGGACAAGGCGACAGTAGCCATCCATCAAGTTTGCCATGTCTTCAGCATCCTCCAATGTGCTACAGATGATAGTAAGTGCCTCTGTCGCCCCAGCAATCTTGATCTGTAACACGCCTTTGTTGTCGGGTGTGGCATTGGTCTGGATAGACTGGACTTGGGCAAAGTCGGCCATGTGTGTTGGCTACAACAGTCAGTTCTGATGTAGTAACTCACAAATAACACAACATATTGACATACCATGTACATAGCTTTTGACAATAATTTGTTCAAAATTTGACAAGAGGCCCGCATCACTCACCTGGTATTCTCACAGTTGTAATCTTAAAAGTGGACTAAAATACAGCTACAGGCAGAATATCAGTGTTTGATTCATAAGAATCTATTAAAAGATTTAAACATACGAGGCCTGAGACCTTGAATGTCGAACAAGGACATTAGGTTGAAAGTAGGTCAAGGTCATTCATTTGAACAAACTTGTAGTCCTTCATCCCAGCATGCTATCGGCCAAATTTCAGTACCTTGGGCCTTTTGGTTTCAACAGGGTTTATTGTATTAACAAAAGGATTAGACTTTTGGTTATTGAGAAGAAGTGGTTTGAAGATTTTAAGACATTTGACCCCTGTCACCTTGAAAGTTGGTCAAGGTCATTCATTTGAACAAACTTGGTAGTCCTTCATCCCAGCATGCTATCGGCCAAATTTCAGTACCTTGGGCCTTTTGGTTTCAACAGGGTTTATTGTATTAACAAAAGGATTAGACTTTTGGTTATTGAGAAGAAGTGGTTTGGAGATTTTAAGACAATTGACCCATGTGACCTTGAAAGTTGGTCAAGGTCATTCATTTGAACAAACTTGGTAGCCCTTCATAGGTGTCTTACTTGGTTGCTGGTACACGCTCCTCGTGCGTTTGTCGCACGCTAGTCATGTGCTAGTCACACGTTAGTCACACGCCAGATGTGTCCACCTCACCCTAGACCGCTCGAAAATTGAACGATTAAACATTCTTAGATCGTTCATAGATTGCTGACCAGAAGTCAATTTGAAGATTAGAATGACGTTTTTTTTGCGTAACAGTGCGATATTTGTATGTATCGCTGATACAGGCCCAATATCAGTTCCCTGGGTCTTTTGGTTATTGAGAAGAAGTTGTTGAAAGTAAAATATTGACACTGGACGCTGCACTACGGCATAGGGCCAGGTGAGCTAATCACAGTTTTAATATTTGTAACTACAGTATAATTTGTGTGTCGAACATGCTTAAATCGAAAACAGCAGATGACTCGAATGTTTCCCTCGGTCCCATTGTTACTCCCTCTTTACACTTTTTAGATTTTCGTGCATTGAATAATAAGTTGATTAATTAAACTAAAAAATACTGTTGTTGTTATCGAGCCCTTACTTGTGTATCAGCGATAAATACAAATATCGCACTGTTACGCAAAAAAAACGTCATTCTAATCTTCAAATTGACTTCTGGTCAGCAATCTATGAACGATCTAAGAATGTTTAATCGTTCAATTTTCGAGCGGTCTAGGGTGAGGTGGACACATCTGGCGTGTGACTAACGTGTGACTAGCACATGACGAGCGTGCGACAAACGCACGAGGAGCGTGTACCAGCAACCAAGTAAGACACCTATGAAAACTATAAGCGTGTGCTGACGTGTCACTGGCGCGAAGAACGATTAGTCAACGAGCATGTTGAGCGTGTGAATAACATGTGACTAACGACAGACTAGCGTGTTGAGTCATTCACTGCAAAGCAAAGATTGTGAACGATTAATAACAACCAAGTAACACTAGGGTAAAGACGGACTTACAATAGTAACATTAGTACAACGTTTCACAAACGTTCTCCAGCGTTTAAAGTTAAACGTTGAAGAACGCTGGTCTCCATGAGAACTTTTGTGCATGTTCAAAACTTTATTTTCCGACCAGCATTCTCCACCGATCAACGACGATTACAAGCGTTCACACAACGCTCTTCTGGCGCTATACCAGCGACCACCGACGATAACCAACGTTTCCTCAAACGTCATAGAATGCTGACCGAAACGTTATGGTGTGACAGACCCTTGAGGTAGCTATAAACTTACTAACAAGGACTTCTGTGTGAGGAAGCTATAACCTTACTGACAGACTTACTGATGAGGCCTTCTCTGTGAGGTAGCTATAACCTTACTGACAGACTTACTGATGAAGCCTTCTCTGTGAGGTAGCTATAACCTAACTGACAGACTTACTGACAGGGCTTTCTCTGTGAGGTAGCTATAACCTTACAGACAGACTAACTGACAACCCTTCTCTGTGAGGTAGCTATAACATTACTGACAGACTTACTGACGAGGCCTTCTCTGTGAGGTACTTCTGTGTGAGGAAGCTATAACCTTACTGACAGACTTACTGATGAGGCCTTCTCTGTGAGGGAGCTATAACCTTACAGACAGACTTACTGATGAGGCCTTCTCTGTGAGGGAGCTATAACCTTACAGACAGACTTACTGACGAGGCCTTCTCTGTAAGGTACCTATAACCTTACTGACAGACTTACTGATGAAGCCTTCTCTGTGAGGTAGCTATAAGCGTTTAAAGTTAAACGTTGAAGAACGCTGGTCTCCATGAGAACTTTTGTGCATGTTCAAAACTTTATTTTCCGACCAGCATTCTCCACCGATCAACGACGATTATAAGCGTTCACACAACGCTCTTCTGGCGCTATACCAGCGACCACCGACGATAACCAACGTTTCCTCAAACGTCATAGAATGCTGACCGAAACGTTATGGTGAGACAGATCCTTCAGGTCGCTATAAACTTACTAACAAGGACTTCTGTGTGAGGAAGCTATAACCTTACAGACAGACTTACTGACGAGGCCTTCTCTGTGAGGTACCTATCACCTTACTGACAGACTTACTGATGAAGCCTTCTCTGTGAGGTAGCTATAACCTAACTGACAGACTTACTGACAGAGCTTTCTCTGTGAGGTGGCTATAACCTTACAGACAGACTTACTGACGAGGCCTTCTCTGTGAGGTACCTATCACCTTACTGACAGACTTACTGATGAAGCCTTCACTGTGAGGTAGCTATAACCTTACAGACAGACTTACTGACGAGGCCTTCTCTGTAAGGTACCTATAACCTTACTGACAGACTTACTGATGAAGCCTTCTCTGTGAGGCAGCTATAACCTAACTGACAGACTTACTGACAGAGCTTTCTCTGTGAGGTAGCTATAACCTTACAGACAGACTAACTGACAACCCTTCTCTGTGAGGTAGCTATAACATTACTGACAGACTTACTGACAAGGCCTTCCCTGTGAGGCAGCTATAACCTTACTGACAGACTTACTGATGAGGTCTTCACTGTGAGGTAGCTATAACCTTACAGAAAGACTAACTGACAAGACCTTCTCTGTGAGGTGGCTATAACCTTACTGACAGACTTACTGACTAGGGCTTCTCTGTGAGGTAGCTATAAACTTACTGACGGACTTATTGACGAGACTTTCTGTGTGAGGTAGCTATACCCTTACTGACGAGGCCTTCTCTGTGAGGTAGCTATAAACTTCCTGACAGACTTATTGACGAGACTTTCTGTGTGAGGTAGCTATAACCTTACTGGCGAGGCCTTCTCTGTGAGGTAGCTATAACATTACTGACAGACTTACTGACGAGGCCTTCTCTGTGAGGTAGCTATAAACTTACTGACAGACTTATTGACGAGACTTTCTGTGTGAGGTAGCTATAACCTTACTGACGAGGCCTTCTCTGTGAGGTAGCTATAACCTTACTGACAGACTTACTGAGGAGGCCTTCTCTGTGAGGTACCTATAACCTTACTGACAGACTTACTGAGGAGGCCTTCTCTGTGAGGTAGCTTATTCCTACTTCTGGTCCAATGACTATCTCCATGGAAATACTCCATCCTGACTACAACAAACAGAGGAGAAAATTTCATTTTTCACAATGCTGAAAATTAGACATCTGAATAGTTTTTACTTTTTGCAAAATAATAGGTTATCTTTTTTTCTTAGCAGATTTTAGAATAGGATATTGAAATGATTTACTGCAATTTTTGTGGAATTGATATTTACTTTGGTTAACATTAACAATTCTTATCATGTGTTGAAACTGTAAAATTAAAATCAAAGTGTTGTTTGTTTCAATTTCTTTTCATATCATGCTTTGAAATTACATACAACTTACCCCTAAAGCACAATTAAACCTTTCCTGCTCAAATTTGTACACCGTCTTTAAAGTTTCAAAGAATTTATAAACACACTCATTCTCTGTCAGTTGTGCATATTGTTTGAAATGGAACTGTATCAGTTTTCGGAGGGTCTTGGACTGTAAAAACAGAATTTACATAATCTGAAATTGCATAGCCGATAAAATGTTAAGAATTTCTGGTTTTATACTTGACCAAACATTCTGTTATTACTCACAATATTAACAGAACAAGAGGCCCAGTGGGCCTGCATCGCTCACCTGTTATTAATCTAACACTTGTAATCTTAAGATTTCATAAGAACATATTAAAAGATTTAAACATATGACGCCTCTGACCTTTATTGTCGAACAAGGACATTAGGTTGAAAGTGGATCAAGGTCATTCATTCGAACTAACATGGTAGTCCTTCATCCCAGCATGCTACAGGCCCAATTTCAGTACCTTGGGCCTTTTGGTTTCAACAAATTTTATTGTATTAACAAAAGGATTAGACTTTTGGTTATTGAGAAGAAATGGTTTGAAGATTTTAAGACATTTGACCCCTGTCACCTTGAAAGTTGGTCAAGGTCATTCATTTGAACTAACATGGTAGTCCTTCATCCCAGCATGCTACAGGCCCAATTTCAGTACCCTGGCCCTTTTGCTTATTGAAAAAAAGTCGCTTGAAGATTTTACGACATTTGACCCCTGTGACCTTGAAAGTTGGTCAAGGTCATTCAGTTGAACAAACTTGATAGTCCTTCATCCCAGCATGCTACAGGCCCAATATCAGTACCCTGGGCCTTTTGGTTATTGAGAAGAAGTCGTTTGAAGATTTTATGACATTTGACCCCTTTGACCTTTGAAAGTTGGTCAAGGTCATTCATTTGAACTAACTTGGTAATCCTTCATCCCAGCATGCTACAGGCCCAATTTCAGTACCCTGGCCCTTTTGCTTATTGAAAAGAAGTCGCTTGAAGATTTTACGACATTTGACCCCTGTGACCTTGAAAGTTGGTCAAGGTCATTCAGTTGAACAAACTTGATAGTCCTTCATCCCAGCATGCTACAGGCCCAATATCAGTACCCTGGGCCTTTTGGTTATTGAGAAGAAGTTGTTTGAAGATTTTAACATATTTCAACCCCTGTGACCTTGAAAGTTGGTCAAGGTCATTTATTTGAACAAACTTGGTAGCCCTTCATCCAAGCATGCAACTGACCAAATATCATCTTCCTATGCCTTTTGGTTACCGAAAAGAAGTTGTTTAGTTCAAAACGTTGACGCCGGACAGACGGACGGACGGACGGACGGATGACGGACGCCGCACCATAACATAAGCTCACTTGCCCTTCGGGCAGGTGAGCTAAAAATTGAAAGCCAGCGGAAGGGAAAGGGGAAAGGGGAAAGGGGGGGGGGGGATGAATATACAAAAGATGAAGCTTTTTATCATTGAATTAACACACCAATTACACAATGACTAATCCCTTCTCTAGTATTTACAAACCAATTACACAACAATGACTAATCCCTTCTCTAGTATTTATACACCAATTACACAATGACTAATTCGTTCTCTAGTATTTACAAATCAACTACACAATGACTTATCCCTTTTTCTAGTATTTACACATCAAGTACACAATGACTTATCCCTTCTCTAGTATTTACACACCAATTACACAATGACTAATCCCTTCTCTAGTTTTTTACACACCAATTACACAACAATGACTATTCCCTTCTCTAGTATTTACAAACCAATTACACAATGACTTATCCCTTTTTCTAGTATTAACACACCAATTACACAATGGCTAATCTGTTCTCAAGTATTTACACACCTAACAAGTACTAATTGTAAGTGGGGACTATTACAGAAGTCCACCAAACTGCCCCATAGTCGCAAAGATGCATTAGAAAAGGACCGCAATGCCATAATACACCAACAATGTACAAACTAAACTTTAGCAACGAACAATTTTTAAATTGTGACCAATCAGAAGCCTCTCTGTGGTTGCTATGACAGTGCCAAAATAACCCTCATATGAAATTTGAGCTAAATCAACCAATATTTAATTTCGACCAATCAGAGGCCGTGGGGCCATCTAAAGAAGAGGAGGAGGAGGAGGAGGAGGAGGAGGAGGAGGAGGAGGTCAATTGCATGACTAGGCGACTAAATTTGGGATTTTATCTTTTCTCTTCTTTCTAAACATCTTTCTTCTTCCTAATGTCTTAGAACAAGGGGGAGAATAATACTAATAATAACAACAAATACTAATTGTAATTACAGATGTCCTCCAAACTGCCCCCATAGTCACAAAGATGCATCAGAAAAGCAATGTCATAATACACTTACAATATACATACTAAATCTGAGTGAAAATCAAACAATTTCTAAATAGCAACCCCTCAGAAGCCTCCTTGTGGTTGCTATGGCAATGAAACCTATGTGATTGAATTCGCAGTCCCCTAATACCCCTATATATCAATTTTTATCAAAATGGGAAAATATCAAAACTTCAACCAATCAGAAGCTTGCGCGTGGTTGCCTTTAGTCAGTTGAGTCTTTGTTAAATTCTGAGCAACATTACTTCATAATGTCATAATGAAATGTTCACCGGTGGAAAGATACAAAATTTAATCTTGACCTTTGACCCAATGACCTTGACCTTTGGTCAGTTGACTCTTGGTTAAATTCCGACCAACTTTGCTTCATAATGTCATAAAATGCTCATCAGTGAAAAGCTACAAAATTTGACCATGACCTTTGTTTGGTCAGTTGACTCCTTGTTTAATTCTGATCAACTTTGCTTCACCATATCGTAACAAAATGTTCATCAGTGAAAAGATGCAAAATTGACGTTGACCTTTGAACTCGAATGTATACCTCAGTGCATTCTTGAAATAACCACTGTTCTATATAAATCCTACATAATTCTATCATTTTACCTTCATCGTTTCAGTCACAGACTTTGGAAGGAATCTTTTGAAGCCCACTTCCTTTTCTAAGCACTCAAAATTTGACTTCTTATCCAGAGCAGCTTGTGGCATGTCCTTGAAGAATCGCCTGAAAGTCATATAAGAAACATAAATCCATTGCAGTAGTATAATTATCACAGGTCAATATCCTCTTTAACACACTATGTCACAGGGGAAAATCTGGGTCAAAACCTAATCAAGGTGAATTAAGTTGTTTCATGTTAATCTCGTGAGTCATTTTGGTAGAATATTCAATATTCAAGATGTTTGTCAGTATGTAAACTTTTGTTTGAAAAAACAGGAATTCTTTGGAAGTGGTTGTCAGCCATGACAGATTACGGTGAACGGTGGCAGATTGACAAATAATGAATGAACAGAAAACATTTGTTGTTATATTATTGATCAGACGGCAGCAGCCTAGTCAAATATTTGCAAAATTTGGCCAAGCATCAAACTTGTGGAAGGGATTTGAGTAGTAAATACACCAGGCAAGCTTCAGCAAATCTTAAAACTCCTTCAAAACGTATCATCTGGAAAGTAATTTGTTTGCTGACGATGAGTGACAACAGAACAAGAGCTGCATAGCTCGTTTATTAAAATTATTTTTGTAAAAAGTGCTTATAGTAATTGGGCCATTACAGGATGTCCCATCTTAGATAATAGATCAGGAAACTAGTCGATGGCACATTCCCGATATCCCCAAAGAACCCCCCTCCCCTGATTACCATATGCAAAAAAAAAAAGTCATGCTTATGTTTGATTTGATATGCTAACCAGAGGCCCAAGAGGGCCTGATTCGCTCACCTGAATATTTAAGCAGTCATAGCAAAATATTCTCATTAAATATCATATTGCACTAAAAATATTTCCCTCGCAAACTTTGTTGGCTCCATCTGTTGAAACTACCAGCCAAATATTTGATTCTTCTTCAGAAGTTGCTTGACATATTTTTTCCAGTGACCTTGTAAGTAGGTCAGTGTCATTTTCCTTCTCAAATTGGTTAGCTCTATTCCAAAAAGCAACCAGCCAAATCTTATGAATCCATTTCTTTTAGTTCTTAAGAACAAATCCTTTAAAATGCTGTTGACCTCTGTGACCTCTAGAATAGGTTGAGGTCATTTTTATTCGCAAACTTTGGTGAGCTCTATTCCAGGAAGTCACCAGCCAAATATTATAATCTTATGCCTTTTAATTCTTCAGAAGTAGTTTGAACCGTTTGACATATTTGAACCTTGTTCCCAGGAATTAACCAGCCAAATATTAAGGTTCCATACCTTCCAGTTCTTCAGAAGAAGTTGTTCTCAGCATTAGACATATCTGACTCCTGTGACCTTGAAAGTAGGTCAAGGTCATTTTCATTTGCAAACCTTGTTGGGCTCTTTCCGTGGAAATAACCAGCCAAATATAAAGATTCTATACCTTTCAGTTCTTCATAAGTAGTCATTTGAAGTGTTTGACACATTTGACTCCTGTGACCTTGAAAGTAAGTCAAGGTCATTTTCATTCGCAAACTTTGTTGGGCTCCATCCCAGAAAGCTATCAGCCAAATATGAAGATTCTATACCTTTTAATTCTTCAGAAGAAGTTGTTTGAAGTTTTTGATATATTTGACCCATGTGACCTTGAAAGTAGGTCAAGGTCATTTTAGTTCTCAAACTTTGTCGGGCTCCTACCAACAAAGCTTTCAGCCAAATTCATGACTCTAGGCCTGTTCGTTCTTCAGAAGAAGTTTTTTAAAGGAAAAGTTGACGGACAAGGACGGACGGACGGACAGACGGACGCCACGGTATGGCATAAGCTCACCTTGGTCCTTTGGACCAGGTGAGCTAACAATGGGACAAACCTTTCTGAAAAAAGGAAAATTCACGAGACGAATATCACTTTTCAAATGTTTACATAAAGTGCAAATATTNTCGATCATTCCTAGTTTTTCAAAATGGCGGCCGTGTCGGCCATATTGGATTTCTGATTGACCCGAAAAATAACAACACTTTGTCAGGACCATGAGTTGATCATTCCTACAAAGTTTCAGTTAATTGGCCCAGCAGAACTTGACTTGTCAGGGTATTATATTAGTACTAATTTAAATCTTGCATGTCAAAACAAAACAAGAAGCCCATGGGCCTAAACGGTCACCTGAGTCCTACAGTATTTATTTTTGTTGTTGAAATATGTACCAATTTGAGTACAAAATAGTTAAGCATAACGTTAACTTAAGTTTGTCAGGACCATGAGTCGATCATTCCTAGTTTTTCAAAATGGCGGCCGTGTCGGCCATATTGGATTTCTGATTGACCCGAAAAATAACAACACTTTGTCAGGACCATGAGTTGATCATTCCTACAAAGTTTCAGTTAATTGGCCCAGCAGAACTTGACTTGTCAGGGTATTATATTAGTACTAATTTAAATCTTGCATGTCAAAACAAAACAAGAAGCCCATGGGCCTAAACGGTCACCTGAGTCCTACAGTATTTATTTTTGTTGTTGAAATATGTACCAATTTGAGTACAAAATAGTTAAGCATAACGTTAACTTAAGTTTGTCAGGACCATGAGTCGATCATTCCTAGTTTTTCAAAATGGCGGCCGTGTCGGCCATATTGGATTTCTGATTGACCCGAAAAATAACAACACTTTGTCAGGACCATGAGTTGATCATTCCTACAAAGTTTCAGTTAATTGGCCCAGCAGAACTTGACTTGTCAGGGTATTATATTAGTACTAATTTAAATCTTGCATGTCAAAACAAAACAAGAAGCCCATGGGCCTAAACGGTCACCTGAGTCCTACAGTATTTATTTTTGTTGTTGAAATATGTACCAATTTGAGTACAAAATAGTTAAGCATAACGTTAACTTAAGTTTGTCAGGACCATGAGTCGATCATTCCTAGTTTTTCAAAATGGCGGCCGTGTCGGCCATATTGGATTTCTGATTGACCCGAAAAATAACAACACTTTGTCAGGACCATGAGTTGATCATTCCTACAAAGTTTCAGTTAATTGGCCCAGCAGAACTTGACTTGTCAGGGTATTATATTAGTACTAATTTAAATCTTGCATGTCAAAACAAAACAAGAAGCCCATGGGCCTAAACGGTCACCTGAGTCCTACAGTATTTATTTTTGTTGTTGAAATATGTACCAATTTGAGTACAAAATAGTTAAGCATAACGTTAACTTAAGTTTGTCAGGACCATGAGTCGATCATTCCTAGTTTTTCAAAATGGCGGCCGTGTCGGCCATATTGGATTTCTGATTGACCCGAAAAATAACAACACTTTGTCAGGACCATGAGTTGATCATTCCTACAAAGTTTCAGTTAATTGGCCCAGCAGAACTTGACTTGTCAGGGTATTATATTAGTACTAATTTAAATCTTGCATGTCAAAACAAAACAAGAAGCCCATGGGCCTAAACGGTCACCTGAGTCCTACAGTATTTATTTTTGTTGTTGAAATATGTACCAATTTGAGTACAAAATAGTTAAGCATAACGTTAACTTAAGTTTGTCAGGACCATGAGTCGATCATTCCTAGTTTTTCAAAATGGCGGCCGTGTCGGCCATATTGGATTTCTGATTGACCCGAAAAATAACAACACTTTGTCAGGACCATGAGTTGATCATTCCTACAAAGTTTCAGTTAATTGGCCCAGCAGAACTTGACTTGTCAGGGTATTATATTAGTACTAATTTAAATCTTGCATGTCAAAACAAAACAAGAAGCCCATGGGCCTAAACGGTCACCTGAGTCCTACAGTATTTATTTTTGTTGTTGAAATATGTACCAATTTGAGTACAAAATAGTTAAGCATAACGTTAACTTAAGTTTGTCAGGACCATGAGTCGATCATTCCTAGTTTTTCAAAATGGCGGCCGTGTCGGCCATATTGGATTTCTGATTGACCCGAAAAATAACAACACTTTGTCAGGACCATGAGTTGATCATTCCTACAAAGTTTCAGTTAATTGGCCCAGCAGAACTTGACTTGTCAGGGTATTATATTAGTACTAATTTAAATCTTGCATGTCAAAACAAAACAAGAAGCCCATGGGCCTAAACGGTCACCTGAGTCCTACAGTATTTATTTTTGTTGTTGAAATATGTACCAATTTGAGTACAAAATAGTTAAGCATAACGTTAACTTAAGTTTGTCAGGACCATGAGTCGATCATTCCTAGTTTTTCAAAATGGCGGCCGTGTCGGCCATATTGGATTTCTGATTGACCCGAAAAATAACAACACTTTGTCAGGACCATGAGTTGATCATTCCTACAAAGTTTCAGTTAATTGGCCCAGCAGAACTTGACTTGTCAGGGTATTATATTAGTACTAATTTAAATCTTGCATGTCAAAACAAAACAAGAAGCCCATGGGCCTAAACGGTCACCTGAGTCCTACAGTATTTATTTTTGTTGTTGAAATATGTACCAATTTGAGTACAAAATAGTTAAGCATAACGTTAACTTAAGTTTGTCAGGACCATGAGTCGATCATTCCTAGTTTTTCAAAATGGCGGCCGTGTCGGCCATATTGGATTTCTGATTGACCCGAAAAATAACAACACTTTGTCAGGACCATGAGTTGATCATTCCTACAAAGTTTCAGTTAATTGGCCCAGCAGAACTTGACTTGTCAGGGTATTATATTAGTACTAATTTAAATCTTGCATGTCAAAACAAAACAAGAAGCCCATGGGCCTAAACGGTCACCTGAGTCCTACAGTATTTATTTTTGTTGTTGAAATATGTACCAATTTGAGTACAAAATAGTTAAGCATAACGTTAACTTAAGTTTGTCAGGACCATGAGTCGATCATTCCTAGTTTTTCAAAATGGCGGCCGTGTCGGCCATATTGGATTTCTGATTGACCCGAAAAATAACAACACTTTGTCAGGACCATGAGTTGATCATTCCTACAAAGTTTCAGTTAATTGGCCCAGCAGAACTTGACTTGTCAGGGTATTATATTAGTACTAATTTAAATCTTGCATGTCAAAACAAAACAAGAAGCCCATGGGCCTAAACGGTCACCTGAGTCCTACAGTATTTATTTTTGTTGTTGAAATATGTACCAATTTGAGTACA